TCCTCCCTTCCAGCGACTGGCTCCTCCTTTTCCTCCTGCCGCTGCCCGTCTGCCTGGTTTGGGCGCTCTGGCCGATTTTTTGACTGTTATCGTTCTTTTCTTCTTGGTACTCCTCTGTGTCTCTTCTACTCCCCTGCTTGCTCTTCCTCCCCTTCTCGCCTTTCTTCATACTTCCGTAGCATTTTCCTCTTCTTCTTTCTTTCCTTCTTTCTTCCTCTCCTCTCAAAATGGTGAGAGAGCTACATCAGACCTACGGAGGAGAGACAGAGCTGGCCCTACCCTCCAATTGCTTTTTTCTCTTAGGTCTTATCTCCCCGCCCCTCCTCTGGGGGATATGTAGGACTTTTGAAGACATTTACTAACTGGAAAGAGAATACTGTACTAACTCACATTTGCTATTCAGATGCTGAGTTCTAGGGGATCTTGGAGCTAAATATTGGCCCTGATTGCAATGGTCTTACATTAGGTGTGTCCTTTTGTGTATATTTGCGCATGTACAGTTGGCATTTAACAGTTTCTGTTGTGTAACTTGCCTTTTCTAACAGCAATTTACTAAGTCATTTAAGATATTACTCTACGTAGATTCTGATAGTCAGTCATGTGAATGTATGCTAAATGACTGTCATTCCAATGAGAATTGTTTTAGTCACTTATAACCTATTTTTTAGAAACACCAATCAGAAAGGATATATGCACCCATATGTTCATAGCAGCACAATTCACCATAGCTAAGATCTGGAAACAGCCTAAGTGCCCATCAGTAGATGACTGGGTTAGAAAACTGTGTTACATCTACACGATGGAATACTACGCTGTGGTAAAAAAGAAGGAACTCTTATCATTTGCAACGGCATGGATGGAGCTGGAGAGCATTATGCTAAGTAAAATAAGCCAGTCAATGAAGGAAAAATACCACATGATCTCACTCATTCATGGATAATAAAGACCATTATAAACTTATGAACAAAAATAGATACAGAGCTGCCTCAAACAGACTGTCAAACTGCAGTGGGAAGGCTGGGAAGGATAGGGGCCAGAAGGGGGGGGAGGGTAAGAGATCAACCGAAGGACTTGTATGCATGCATATAAGCATAACCAATGGACATAAGACACTGGGGGGTAGGGGAGGCCGGGGGATTGTCAAGGGCGGGGGGAAAAAGGAGACATATGTAATACCCTTTGTAATACTTTAAGCAATAAAACTAAAAAAAAAAAAAGAAGAAACCAAAAGAAAATATATATATATTTATTGTTTTCAGAGAGGAAAGGAGAGGAAGAGAGAGGTAGAAACATCGATGATGAGAGAGAATCATTGATCGGCTGCCTCCTTGCACACCCCCTACTGGGGATCGAGCCTGCAACCCGGGCTTGTGTCCTGACCGGGAATTGAACTGTGACCTCCTGGTTCATAGGTCGAAGCTCAACCATTGACCCTTTTCAGTACCGCACAGGCAAGTGGTGGAGCTTGGGTTCCTCCAGGTTTGTCTGAATCAGACATAATTCCTTGCTCCTAGCCAATATTGTATTTCATAGTATGATTATGTCACGACCCCCTCCCTCCTCCAGGTGCACAGGTGAGAAATCTCTTGAATTCAGGGGTAGTCTTTATTCCCTCCGCAGCCTGGCCTGGATAACTTGGCATAGCAGGATCTTTCCATTTGAATTGACGTGAATAAAGGTAAATGATACCTATCCCGTCACTGTTACGCGTGTCATAGGCTTTTCAGAATATGGTTGTGACTCCATCAAACGCATTTATTTAACATGATACTGTACTCAGTGCTTTGACATACACAAGAAGTGGAATAGTCGGCCCTTACTTAGAAAGAAAACCTCCGTTGTTCTCTCTTTTAAACTTGAAGCAGCTGACTGACTCTGATTGCATAACCCTTTGTTGTATTTTAATGACTTACTCATTTTTCAAGGAAGATTTTCTGCATCTGACACCCACTTTTTGCTCACTCTTTCCTTTTTAAAAGTTCAGTAGTGATTTTTAAGAGACTAGAGGTCATGTCTGTACTGTTGAGCATTGTGTCCGGCGTCTAATACATATAGGTTCTGAAATATATGTTGAATTAAAGAGACACGTTCTTTTTATTGTGCAATATAAGCACTTTACATACAGTACTTAGTCCTCGTTATACTTCATTTAATTGACTTTATAGATGCTGAATTAGGAGATGTTTTCATCTGCAACGTTGTGAGTTGGGATTCTGACCAGTTTTGACGCGGCCCTTTGGTTTAGCCTTTGCTGCACCCGTCCCTGCAGAAGGGCCACCTGGGTACTGACAGGAGTTTGGGATGGAGACACAGCTCTAATTTCTTAATTTCCTACTCGTTGTATGATTAGCAGTGTCATTTGTGTGATCGTTTTCTATCTTAACAACATTCCATTTAAAACTTTACTTTGGGTTCCATGGTAGCTTACAGTATGCAAGATGTAATGGGGTCACATTGCCACTCTTGTTTCCTTCCTGGTGGGACTCCCACACAGCGTGTTTGTTGCTCTGGCAGACAAAGCTGGTTCTCCTGGCACCTCTGTTTTCAGTCTGATTGTATCTGAATCACTGTGGCCACTCATTCTCTGCAATGTTTAAAGTTCCGCTGTGGTGAGTAAATTCACACAGCATGCTGTCAGCTTTTTGTATTTTTCAAACTGTAAAATTTATTTTATAAAATGCCCTTTATTGTTTATGAGACCCTTTAATGAGTTTCTTGGGTTAGGTATCTGTAGGGTACTTAAAGATTTTGTTACAGATCTAAGATGGTTTCTCTTTTAACTTCTTTCATGGTTGAAATAGAATATAAACACAATCACCAAATTTAGATCAGTTCAGCTCTAAAATAAATTTAAACACGTAATTGGTAGCCAGTAGCCTCCAACAGAGCATGTTTCTGTAAGCAATATTTGTAGTGTCCCAGTATGTGCTCTATTAAAACGTTTTCAGCATTGATCTATAATAACAAGCAATTTAGTCGCACTTATTACCAAAAAAGCCTGGTAAAAATTTTGGTTCTTTTGAGTATACTGAGAGACCTATCAAAAATTTACCCATTGGCAAAACCCTTTTTCATTTATTTCTCTTTATGACAAGTGTAAACTATTAAGGTTAAGTGGGTGGGGCAACCGGAAGTAATTACGAAGGCCAGTGGCATTTTTGTGGTTTAATAAAGGCAGAAGCTAATTATTCAGTTTTTATTTAAGTGAAATGGTGCCAGAAAGGAGGTTCCTGCCGAGCAGCTGCACTCCCTCAGTGTTACCCTAATTTACCAAAGGCACGACTGTCACAAATAAACCTTTACACTTGATATGTAGCCTCAGAGGACGGAGGCTTTTGTTTGGGGTGCATGCAGAAGAACTCCTTTATGTAGGTCCACGCCAGATGATGGACAGTGATGAAAATTTGATTCTTTGAAGTCATAATAGTCATTGAAATGTGTGAAATTCTGGTATTGAAAAGAGAGAGGCCAGCAAGACTCTCAATCCTGGGTGGTTGCAGGAGGCTTGCTGGGAGGTTTGTCGGCATTTTGACACCAACTTCCCATTGCTTGTTCCCTGCTTCCTTTGTTTAAAAAAAAAAAAAGAATTCACACAAGATAAATGGGAACAGTTGATAACCGAATCATACAGTTTTTATGTGGAAAACTAATATTTTATAACGAAAGTTGGTATTTGAAAGAATCAAGTTCATTTACATATGCTGGCATCTACTTTCTCAGTGATTTTAACATTTCTCTTTCCCTGAAGCACACTTGTGGCGTGGAAGGCCGGGCTTTGCTCAGCGTCAGAAACTGTGGAAGATGCACTGAGGGAGTAGGACCTTGGAACTGGGAGATGCATCTTTTCAGCAGCAAATTCTGTTTGAATGCCCTTTAATCTCTGAATCATGATTTGTCACTATTTAAAAAATGGCACATTTACATGAGATTGTGTTTCTGAAACTTTATTTAGATAGTAACATTCTTTAATAATAGGAATATAGGTTTCATATTTGACCCAACCGCTTAAAAATTTTAAGTTTTAAAATTTAGTGTGTGTATATTATCTATAAATTAACTTGATTTATTAGAATTTACAGATAATTATTAACTGGTGAGTTTTGAGGTTCCTAAAGAGTCAACTTGAAGGCTTCTCATACCCTATCTGACGGAAGGTTTTGTAATCCTAGAAAACATATGGATTATTTATGGTTTTCTGTTTTACCAATAAAATGAGAACGCTGTGAAAGGCAATATTGACATCTTCAGAGCACCTCTCTCTTCTAAGTAGCCTTTAAAAAATGACAGATGATCTAGTGCAACACAGAAGTAGAAATCTACACAGGAGAAAAGAATATCATTAGTTCAGCAGAGTTTAAGGCATTTACAGATTGTATTTATTTGTTTGTTTATTGCAAAGGTTGAGTCACAGGTAGTCCAATGAGAACTTGAGGTAAAGCAAAGCATTGATGACACAAGTAACGAGTTCAACACAGTGCCCCCCGGTTCTTTTCAAGGATTGCATTGTTTTAATAGAATCTTGGAGTGGGAGTTTTCCCATTGAAATGTCCTTAAAGGACAGGTTCTTCTGTCACTGGCTGAGCCATGTGGCTGAAATGGTAACAATAGTGTCGTGATGCATTTTACAAGTGTGAGAAATCAGTTTGTCTAGACTGAGCGTGTGCCTGCAGGGACTAGGAGGTTAGGGCTCAGGGCCTCTCTGTGTCAGCTCCGTGCACAGCCCTCCATGCAGGCCTGTGTGTCCGACACTGCGCTTCAGAATTCAGAAACCCATTTGTTTCTGCTTTAAATTGGGTGAAGATAGCGATAAATAATTGCCATAATTTTTGGAAGCTGGTAGTCAGGAGTTCAAAATATAAAGAGCTTAGCAACATTTGGTAGTTTCTTACTTTAAAGGGGTTTTCCATCCTAAAAAACTTTGCACTTTAGTAGCTAGTACAAATCAAGAAATACTGTTTCCATTTTAAAAAGCTTTATTGTTTTTTTAATTACTTTGTAAGTTCCTGTATAAACTCACTGAAGTTTATGAAGAAAAAGCCTGTTTCTGTGATCCCACCTTCCTGAGGTGTCTAGTGCACAGAGTAAGTGTATCGTGTTTCCTTTCCTGGAGATCTTCTTTAGAGAACAGCCAATGAATCGTTCCAGTTCGTACGAATTCATCTCATACTCGAGAGGTTGCTGTGTAATTTGGAAAAGAATCCTCACCCCATAATTTTGTAACATTGTTTCTTAAGACCCAGTTTAAGGTTAAACTGTAACTTTGGAGACAGAACATCTATCTATACTAATAAAAGGGTAATATGCTAATTAGACTGGATAGATCCTTCCAGATGTCCATCGTGACAAAGCCGGGGACATGGCCAGCCTGAAAACTGCCCACAGCCCCTCGCCCAGGCCGGCCCCACCCCCCAGCAGGGACCCCCACCTGATGGGAATGTGGATGGCCTACAAAGCGCCCGAGGCTCCTTGCCCAGGCCGGCCCTGCCCCCAGCCAGGACCCCAACCCCAATCCGGGGCCCCCTTCAGGGCAGGCCAGCCGGCCCCCACCTGTGCACCAGGCCTCTATCCTATATAATAAAAGGGGATTATGCAAATTGGCCCTAACAGCAGAACGACTGCTGGACCAGTCACTATGAGGCGCACTGACCACCTCTTGGTCCGTTTCCCCAGCCGCAGGCTCCGATCGCCTGATGGCCACCCGTGGTGGAGGCGGGGCTGGTGAGCGGGCGGGAACAGCTGACCTCTCAGTCCCTTTCCCTGGCCGTCAGGCACTGATCACCCGATGGCAAACGGAACCAGGGTGGGTGCGGCGGGGGGCAGGGCCTGATTGCAGGCCAGGCCTAGGGACCGTACCCGTGCATGAATTTCATGCGCCAGGCCTCTAATATTAATATAAAGATACAAAATGTTGAATAATAAGTGAATATGACAGATTACAAAACTATACTGAATTCAGAGCGGAAATAAGTATTGAGGACTCTCCAGAAGCTGAGTCCTTTGCAAGCTCTCGAGTTGAGGAACATGTTTCAGAAAGCCATTACATGTAATTATACTGGAAATTCCTTTTCTTTGACGTGAACTTGACAATTAACATCATCAGTTAAACCCTGGTCAGTGTGGCTCAGTTGAGCGTCATCCCATGCACCAGAGGTTGCTGGTTTGATGCCAGGTTAGGGCACATGCCCAGGGTTGAGGCTCCATCCCTGGTGATGGGTGTGTACAAGGCAGGGTCTGATGTTTCTCTCTCAAATTGAAGTTTCTTCCTCTTTTCCTCTCTCCCTTCCTCTCTAAAAATCAATAAAAATGTATTTTAAAAACACAATTAAAACATACTCATATCTTTAAAAGTATGTACCAATTGCACTCATTTTAATTTTATCCTCTATAAAAATATTTTTTTAAAAATGTAAGCAAGTATTACAAGTGCATATTTGTGTAAATATTTATGTGGATCATTTTTATAGTTCCTCCAAACACAAATTTTGACGACGTAACCACACTTAATTACTGGAGCAGGTAGAAAGGTACTGTGTTAAACAGAGGATTGGTTGAGAGCTAAAATAACTTTAAAGAATTGTGTTTTTAATCTGTGGGTAGAAAGACTAGTTGAATCAGAGATACACTTACTGTTTCCCAATACATATTGCAGCACTAAGTATTTATACTAGTCCTTTGGTCCATAGCATTGATTAGAGCGGTCCTACAAGTAAGCACTAGCTATCAGAAACGTGTTTGCGTGTTTTCTGTAGGACATCACTACCTTAACTGGCGTCCCCGAGGAGCACATCAAAACCCGGAAAGTCAGGATCTTCGTTCCTGCGCGCAACAACATGCAGTCTGGGGTGAACAACACCAAGAAGTGGAAGATGGAGTTCGACACCAGGGAGCGCTGGGAGAACCCTTTGATGGGCTGGGCATCCACGTGAGTGCTTTGGTTTCACTTGAATAACTTCTCAGTTCTTTTTCTATGTAGATTTTCCTTTTAAACATACTGATTTTAACACTCCTTCATGTATACTTCTTTTTGTGTAGCTTTGTGTAGATATCACTGTGTTCTATGATGTAGACATATCTATCTATATAAAAGCCTAAGTGACCATTATGACCAGTACGACCGGTCAACCGGTTGCTATGATGTGCACTGTCCACCAGGGGGCAGACACTCAACACAGGAGCTGCCCCCTGGTGATCAGTGCACTCCCACAGGAGGAGCGCTGCTCAGCCAGAAGCCAGGCACTCACGGCTGGCGAGCACAGCTGCTGCGGCGGGAGCCTCTCCCGACTCGACCCTGTGGCAGCGGGCAGTGGCGGCAGGCACAGCAGGCCGAATGACTGCGAGCAGTGCGGCACCTGGCCCAGCTTGGGCTCCGCCCTGGCAGTCAGACATCTCCCAAGGGGTCCCAGATTACAAGAAGGTGCAGACCAGGCTGAGGAACTCCTGCCCCTCCACTCCCCCCCTCCCCTGTGCATGAATCCATGCACTGGGCCTCTAGTTTATATATAATATACCTGTTTAATATTCATATATTAAACCATAGACCAGTGATGGTGAACCTATGACACGCGTATCAGACGTGACACGCGAACTCATTTTTTTGGTTGATTTTTTATTTGTTAAATGGCATTTAAATATATAAAATAAATATCAAAAATATAAGTCTTTGTTTTACTATGGTTGCAAATATCAAAAAATTTCTATATGTGACAGGGCACCAGAGTTAAGTTAGGGTTTTTCAAAATGCTGACACGCTGAGCTCAAAAGGTTTGCCATCACTGCCATAGACAGTTGTTTTCAAAGTACTCTTTATTAGATAAAAAAATGACTGACATTGTGAGCGCTGTTAGCACACCCCCCAAGCTGTTTGCATTAGTTTAAGATGCACTGGGTATGTAGTGTTAATAATTAGTAACACTTCACTTATTTGAAATTAAAACTTCTTAATAAGGTATGTTTTTGTTTGTAAGGGGAGAAGACTAGATAAGATTAGGTACTGGCTATTCTGAAGGAAACTGGTAAGTTTCTGAGATTTGTGACTAATAAATGCACAGTGCACTGGGAAAAGTGGTCATAAATCCTATGGCCCCAGTGAAATCAGTGACCTAAATCTCCATTGTGGAATGTGGCCCAAACGCTAACCAGCAGGACGGCCTTGAGTTGAATAAAAGCTGCTGCTAGAGAAGCAGCCAGAAAAGCGAGAAGACTCCGCTCTCCCTGGGCCTCCTAGAATGTCATGTGTGCCCAGGCGGAGCTGAAGATCGTTATCACCTTCAGTTGTCTCACTTAGAAAAGTGTAACATTCGACTTTTCTTTCCTGTCGATGTAACTGGGAGAATGTTTGTTAAAAACATCTCACGTGTGGAAATTTAAATAGAATTACATTTTGCTTGGCAAAATGAAGTATAGGCACGATTTTAGGTATTTTGTATCTTTAGATTGTATATTTCATGGAAGTGTTGTAAATCACATGTTTGTAGAGACTAAAGAAATTTATAAGGAACAACTTTTTCCATACCCAGTGGTTGAAATGCTATGATGACCTTTTGTTAAGTCACATGAGATTTTAATGTGTTCATCTCTATGCAAAATTCATCCATTGCACTGTTTACTGATAGCATCTGGTTAGTTTTCAGTTGGGGCTATTATGTATAAAATCATTTTAAAATGGAGATTCTTGTACATGTCTTTTGGTGAACCTCTGATCTATTAATATGCCAGTTTGGGGTATAAATGTCATTTTGGAGAATGAGAAAAGGGGTAACAAGGTCTTGGATTTCAAAAGTCAAAATGAGTGATTTGTAGGTGGTTGAGGGAAGAGTGGAATGAACGTGGCCGGCAGATTCCTGCGAGGCGACCAGCAGCAGCGGGACGCGCGCTCAGCGCCCAGGCCTGCCTGTGCCTTCCCGCCCCATCCTCCGGCGATTAAGTCTCGCGCAGACGCCAAGCCTCCTCCGTGGAGCGGGCCTCTCCATCTGCATCTCTTATGCAGAGAAGGCAGGGGTCAAAGCTTCTGTCCGCGTCTGTGTTTCCCAGGGACCAGTTTAAAATCACTCTCCCAGAAGGCACGGTCCCCTTCAGAGTATACAGTCTCATTGAGGGGAGCAGTTAGCAATCTGATACTCAACCAGTGAAGAATTTTCAAGAGTTTATTCCAAATAAGATATTTCATCAGTACTGTACTTATTTTTTATTATAGCAGTTGTTTATATTCTAAACATTTTACTTTAAGTATTGATTGTTTTTTCAGCCAAAATTTAATGTTAAATCCTGGAAAAAAAATTGTTTCTTTCAGGGCTGATCCCTTGTCCAACATGGTTCTAACCTTCAGCACCAAAGAAGATGCAATGGCCTTCGCAGAAAAAAACGGTATGTTGGGTCTGTTTTTGTTTGACTTTAACAATTAAAAGGAAGATATGAGTTTATGTTCTTAACATTAATCAAAACCAGTCAGGAATATAGAATTTGAGTAGGAAGAAATTTTTCAGTGTTATCTAATCCACTGGATTTAAGAATTTTACAGCAGGAGGACACCCCCTTCCAAAAAAAAGAAAAAAATGTAACACGGAATGCCCACAAAACATGGGAAAGCCAAACCGCTCTCACCTGAAGTAGAGGCAGGGAATACCGTGTCTGACTCCTGCCCTGCTGATGAGTCCCTGCAAACCTCTAACGCCTGGTGTTACAGTCTAATTGACCCTTTCAGTTTGACACCTCCTTACGATTTCCTTTCTTACTTTGAGCCAGAATCCCATGTCTCTTACTCTACGTAATAGCTCTTCAGTTATTTCAAAATAGTTATCGTTGTCATATTCCCTCTCGATTATCTCTGCTTGCATCATTTTATAACATTAGTCTAAGACAGTAATGTCCAAGGCCTCTCACTCGCTCATCCACCCACCCACTCAGCACAACTCCCAGTCCTCTACACTCTGTTTGTGGTAAGTGCTGTCTGTCTTTTATACTGTATTTTCACTGCACCTTTTCTGTGTGTAGATACACAGTGCCCATGAGTTACAGCTGCCAACAGTATTCAGTATAATAACGTGCTGCACAGGAGCCATGGCTGCACATGGCGCCGAGGTGTGCAGTGGCCGCACCCTCCAGGTCTGTGTGATGCCTCTGGGATGTGCACACAGTGAGGACATTACTTCACAGCGACACATCCCTCAGGAAGAATCCCTTCCCAGCGCTAAGCGGCTCATGGTGTCTGTTGATCTTGCTGTCAAGAAAATACAAAATGTCTTTTTGTTTCCCTCATTTTCTGTTGTTAAGCTATGCAACACAGTAGTGAAAAGAGGCTTTGGAGTTAGGCCAGTATGAATTCTAATCCTAATTGTGCCACTTCGAAGCTACACGATTTTGAATTAATTTCATGTTGAAGTAGCAGTCTTATTTCATGGTGTACCTAGTCCAGCACACAGTAAGCACTGGGTAATGCTCTCTGCTTTGGTCTCTTTAGGATGGCAATGCACTACTGTGTACTTGTACCTAACGCATTCTGTTGTTCTAGTTGGTCAGGTTGAATTTAATCTAATTTAGTTATCTATGTGAATGAAATAATACCTATTTAAGCAGCCTACTATAAGGGAGTATATATATATATACTATAAGGGAGTGAGTGTGTGTGTGTGTGTGTGTGTGTGTGTATGAAAGGCTAATATGCTAAGTGTCTGACCATCTGGGTAATGACGTCACGTAGCAATGCCCAGCTTCCTCTCCCTAGCAACTAGCTTCCTTGCAGTTTCTTCAGCCCAGGAACACAACTTGTTTTATAGCCAGATGGAAATATTTTACACTTTAACCAAATGTCTGTAAAGCGTTTTCTGTGCCTCATCTCATTTGATCCTCACAGAAGTCTTGGAGTAGGAAGATAGGAGACTCGGTGAAATCCTATTTTCTTTTCATTAGCTGGAAAACGGAGACTTAGAAAGCTTAGAAACTTGACCCAACTGAAAAGAAGTAAGAAATGGTGGACCTTGAAAATGACTTCAGGTTTTCTCACTGCACAGAATATAGTCAAACACTGCTACAGTTAACTATTTCACCCTTTGTTCTCCCTGCGTGATCTGTAATAATAATTTGCTTTGTATTGATATTTACTGCTGTGTTCCTGACAATTACCTGAAAGAGAAATTGGGGTGCTTCACTGGGCTGGAAAAAGTTTAGCTAAATCAGAAAGCAGGCCTAATTAAGCAAGTTTGTTCTATATCTATAAAAGGCTAAGTTGACTCGTGCATGTGCAATACATATAAAGCTCTCACTGGCACCAATCACACACGTGTGTTTCCAAATGTCATTGTCTATTGTGACTTTGGTTGACACTTCTATTATAGAGAAAGGGCAAATAGCGATATTAAAATATTTCTTCTAATTAATTTTCTTTCAATGTGCACAAATTTGTGCACCAGGCCACTAGTATAAGTATAAAAGATTATCAGTGTTATCTAACATATTTGACGTGTAAATGTGAAAGAACTACACAAGTTATTTACATTTGCTTTTCACCCCAAGTTAGTATCATTTACTTATGACCAGGAGTCTGAAGCCACACTGCCTGGGTGTGAATCCATATTGGGTTTCTTACTATTTGTAGACCTTGTGTTTCCATTTTCTCCTGTGTATAGTAGGAATTGTGAGGATTGAATGTGTTAAGTAAAAGTAAAGTGCTTAGAACATAGTTAAGTAGCTATATAATAGTACATACATTTATCCTAGTAGTAGTAGACTTATAAAAACTTTTAAAAAATCACATAAGTATAATTCATGATTAACAAATTGATTTTTGGCAATTTTGACAATTTTTAATGGCATAAGTGTTCTCAAAGTAGTCCTAGTCTTTAAAATATCATTTTGATTTAAAATGAACATTGCTCTCTTTATTAAGCTGTTGTTGGGGAGGAAAAAAATGTTATCTACCTATCTAGGTTCTAATAATAAAATTAACATAAGAAAGATTGACAGGAGGAAAAAGATTTAAGCATTATGTACAGGGGCCATAGAACGTCAGACCCAAGGACAGGCCGTGCAGTTGAAGTTTCTGTGCCGCCCTGAGCTGAGGAGCGGGAGGGGCCTGGGCTTCGGGGGGAGGAGGGTAGTTCACAGGACACTAAGAGCGGATGTCTGCCCTGCCCTGCACGTAGGTTATTCAGATGAGAGTCGCTTCCGGTAATCGCTGTCTTTCCGGGCTCAGCCACCTACCTGAAGGTGGAGTGTTCCTGTCCCTGCTGGGCAGGGTGGCCTTCGCTCAGAATGACCCCAGGCCCAGGTGGCACATCGGGGCCATGCTCCTGTCCCTTCACTGACTGGAGCTCATCCAAAGCGGTTCAGCTGATGCTCATCCTACTTGAAGCAAGTCATCCTTTGAGGTCTGTGATGTGAGTTTAGTGACGGGACATCTAGTAAACTATTACATCTCTCAGTGTCTCTCTGAGGGGTCGCAAGGGCACATGTGAATTGCAGGTGTGAACTAGCCACTGCTGCTTTTGAAATCAGGTGCTTTTCCAATCTGATGTCTGTCTCCCCAGGAAAGAAAATTGGGGAGCATTATTACAGCCAGTAGACAGAATAACTTGAAAAAGCATAATGGATAGTACCTTATAAAACTCCAGGCTCACAGTGGATCAGGAATTGAACAAGGCAGCAGGATTTATATCTGTCTTAGTCACTGCTTTTCACAAAACCTACATAACGGATACTTGTTATCTGGTGAAATTACTCACTTTCTAAAATATATTTCTCTACTCAAGAATTTGAAGCCACTCTTATCTCTTGGGAAAGTCCTCGATGGTTATTTCACCATTGAATTCACTATAGTACTTGTGTTCTGCCGCATTTAACATTTAGCATTATATATCTTAAGTAGGTAAGTTCTGTTTCTCTAGCTATTACGGCAGTGACTCTAAACAAACACCAGTGAATGGTACAGCATCATGGCTGAAGGATCTTTTTCAAATTGCCTAGCAACCTCTCCATTCTGATTTGCCCTCTTGTTTAAGTGGCTAGTGGGGGGACATGTAAATGGATCTCTGCTCCCCTCACACCTCACATCATTTTGTTAATTAACAAGATCACATACCATTAAGTGGGTGAGCAAATGTTATCTGAGTGCAGACATATTTGTTCATCTATCTATGCATTGTCTATGACTGCTTTTCCGCTTTAATAGTAAAATTAAATAATTGTAATAGAGACCATATGGTCCCCAAAGTCTACAAATACTTTCTATTTGGTTGTTATTTACAGAAAATATTTACTGACCCCTGGTCTGAACTGTTACGTACACGGCCTCAGTACTAAGAACTTTTCTTCTCTGACATTTATATAAATCCAAAAGTGCTCTTTTTTCAAACATCTTGAAGGGTCTATGCTTACTAGACCAACTCGGCTGATTATTCAGAGTTCTTCACAACATAAGCAGTAACTTGTCCCCAAAGCACTAACTAGCTTTATCTTACTTTGCCCCAAAGCTGCTTTCCTCTACCTGCAGCCTCACATTTCCCTCCTCACCCTGTCCCTGCCTGTGACCGCCAGCTCAGTCTTCAAATACATTGTAAGTGTGATCGCCTTCCTGACCCTTTTCTTATCCCTTCTCCACCCTCACTGGGTGCGCGCTCTCCCTAGTCTAGCCTCCTCAATAACCTGTTCCTTTCTTACAGCTGGTAGTGTGGTTTTGTACTTTACATATTGGCATTATATTCCGTAAGGCATGTGAGCCGCTGTGGTATGCCGGCAGCGGTGGCTAGCCTCTGGGGTCAGTAGTTAAGGGCGGCATAATGCTAGTACTCAGCTGGAATATTTTATCCTGCCGACTGGCTTATAAGCGCTGCCAGGGAAACACCCCGTCGGGCCCATCTTTGTCTTTTAATGTGCTCAATAAATATTAGTGATGTCATAAATTATTCTCCGGATCATGTTTTAAGATTTTGTACAAGGAACTTTAATTTGGCTACTTGTTATATCTTTTAGAAGAACTGTTAATTCCCTCCAGTTAGAAATCTGAGAAAAGAAAATTGTAGGAGAATCATTAGCAATTTCTTATAGGTTAGTGTGTTTGTAAAATACAACCACTGAGTTTTTCTGTTAAAATTAATTTGTAATTTTAATAATTTGAGTGTATTAAGGGTTCACACCCTGAAGTATATTTCGGTGTACTTACTAGTGAGCTGATCATTTTATAACTTTAGAGTTGTTTCCACCCTGTTATTTGTTCCAAACTCTTATAAGTATACTAAAACCTGGGAGTTAATACAGCAAGATCAAAATCAGTCACCTCGCCTAGCATAGGACCACGTTTCTAGATTTCTAGCACAATGTTTTTTCTGTGATACTGTGGGGCTGGTAGATCTTCAGAATTAATTGTGTAGATC